TAATCAGAAACTAATAATCAGAGTGACTTTTCCAGCCAAGTAAAGATGAAAACTTCTCCCCATTAAGAAATAATTGATATATGCTCTCTGACTTAACCCTTTGTGTCCAAGTCAATAACAGAGAATGTAAATTTCCTTCTAACTTTTATTCTCTTGCAAAATCATAGCAAACCAAAATATTTCACACACGCTATTCCCAGTCTCTCTTCTTGCCCTTTGTATGTTATCATTTTGAAAGGTTTGAATCATATGGATTTGTCTATAAATGATATATTTATACTAAGCATTTCATAGAGACTCATTAAAAAGAACTTACTTCTAAAAGATGAATTGTGGTCTTAAATATACTTCTCGATTGTATAACCAGCCATTGACATCAATAAGAACTTAAGAGAAAACTAAATTCAGAAAGTTGCAATGATTTCACCTAAGCTAAAGTTGACTTGTATGTAACATGAAAATAGTCTTTAAAAGATGAAAGAGGAAAAGTTTAATATTATAGTAATTAAATATATGTCCATAGTTACAAAGTAGTCTCCTCTATTCATCAGGACAGACCATGGAGGGTTTTCACTTGAAAACATGAAGAGCTATTCTAAGTTTGTATGAAAATAATTGAACCCTCTTTGCCTCGGTTTTTCTCTAAGTCAAACTGGACTCACTCCACCTAGCTCTTTAGTGAGCTTTCAGAGTCCAGAAATTTCTCTTTTTTCTTTAAATAAAATCACCATTCAGTTCTCCCTTAGTTACCAGCATACTATTATTAAATAACACAGTGCCCCCAAAACGTGATTTTTTGCAGATATGTTTTCAACTAATATTAGTATTTGGAATCCACAAGTTCTTGTCAGCTACTCACAAATTCCAAACGCATCTCCTGTCTGTAATACAGGCCAGGGTGGGTTTAGGGGTTAAAAAAAAAGTCTTTGATATTACCACTGTGTTCATCTCCTTTGGCTGGCAGCATAAGGCAACCTAAAATGCCAACAGTCAATGATTCAAATAAATCATGGGTGAGGGAAGGCCTGGGCTGGCTGCAGATCAGTTCTCCAAATTCATTCTATTCTTACATCCTTCCTTTAAAGTTGCTTCTTTACAGTTTTCAGAATAAGATGACACAGATGGTCAGAAAAACTCTGAAGGTATCGAAGTCCATTAGCTTAGGAAAATGATAAGCAACCTTTCCAGAGACAAAATAAAGTGCTCCATTGTGATATCTTGAAACAAGTATGCATTCAAAAGTAATTAACTTCATTTGTTAACTTCAAGAATAAAGGCACCTTTTATTTTCACAGTTCTAGGTATTGTTAGAATTTCACACTAAGGAAAAAAAAAAGATTGCACCCTAGAATGGAATACTAAAAGGGAATTTTGGTGGAAACAACTACTTTCATATGGCAAATTCCCTCCTTGCAGCTCAATAAATTTCCATGAAGCTATCATAAAGTGGAATTCATTTCTGAAAGAAGTTTTGTTATTTTTCTCTGCCCAATTAGGAAGTTAAAAGGCAATTAGATTAGCTGTCATGGTAATAGTAGGCCTTTCTGGGGATGTTGATACATTTGTTAGGGGAGCCAAGCTCAGAGACATCTACTGTCTAGTGTGTAGTCTCTTCTAAAATAACTGGGGGGAGAGGAGAAAGGAAGGAAGTGAGAGGCACCCCCCTCCCCCCCACCCCAGTTTTCTGTAGTCCATTCCCAAGGCTCTGAACCAAAATCTCACTTCTTTGATGAGTTCAAGTCCTGGTGGTTTGTCATTTCTTTGATGAGTTGGTGTCCTGCCAGTTTGAACGTCTTTAAGAGTAGAGGGGGTTAAATTTAATTGTTTTACTTTCTACTTCAGCATATAAACAAGACACAATCTCCTCTGATTGAGAAATACCACCTTTGTGTAAATGACAGCTTTCCAGATACACGGAAAAGACTGACCTTGCTCCAATCAGTGGGCATATTTTAAAACTTCATTCTTCTTCCTTTACCTCGGACTTGGGGGGGGGGGGGAGTTGGGATGGAGGCAACAGTTTTCCTGCCTAAATTCAAATCGATGCTCACTGGTCCCAATCTCCTGTGTTTCTTTAAACTCCTGTGGGGCCAGTACCCTTACTTAGCCTGAGCAAGGTTTTCAAAACCTGGCTCAAATAGAGGAGTTTGAGAAATGTGAACCGAAAGCAGCCTTAGGCAACCGGCCCCACATTCTCTTCTTCTTCTTTGTTCCAACTGTGGGATGTCACTGCTCCCGTAATCCTTTTAAAACATAACTACCATTTTGCTGGGCCTCGCTTGATGCGGAGAGATTGTCCTTATTTTCTCCTGAATTTGTGCGGAAATCAAAGTTCCTCTGGTCCCACGGTCAAAGTCAAGTAAAAATAGCAAAGTGAGGGGATCCCTGGGTGGCTCAGCGGTTGAGCGCCTGCCTAAGGGCCAGGGTGTGATCCTGGAGTCCTGGGATCGAATCCTACATCAGGCTCCCTGCAGGGAGCGTGCTTCTCCCTCTGCCTGTGTCTCTGCCTTTCTCTGTGTTCAAAGTGAGTGGGTGCAGGGGATGGGAGGTGAGCAAGCAGCGGAACGGAGCTGCCCAGACCTCGCGAGGCGCGCGATCCCGCGCTCAGGGCCCGGCGCTTGCCCCACGCGGCATCGTGGGCCTCGTGCCACGCGGCGGAGCCTGGGCCGCCGGGCAGGAGCGCGCCTCGGGGAGGTCGCGGGGGCCCGGAGATGCCCTCGCTGGAGGAAGCCAAAGTAGAACCTCTGAGTCCACAGATAGACAGCGGGACCTGCGCGGAAGGGGCAGGGGGCAGGTGACCCTCAGGGGTCGCGCCTACTGGCCGCGATCTGTCGTGGGCACCTCGGCTCCCGCTCGGACCCGATTCCGGGAGCCAGGACGCGGCCGCTAGCGTGCGCCCAGGCGGCGAGAAACACCGGGACCTACGCGCCTTGCTCCCGCCTCCAGGGGGGCACATCGTGGCTCTTCGGATGAAGGTTCGCTCTTTGCCCCCGGAGAAAGCAAAGGCGGTTTTTTTTTTTTTTAAGATTTTATTTATTTATGAGACACAGAGAGAGAGGGGGGCTGAGACACAGGCAGAGGGAGAAGCAGGCCCCACGCAGGGAGCCCGACGTGGGACTCGATCCGCGTCTCCAGGATCAGGCCCTGGGCTGAAGGCGGCGCTAAACCGCTGAGCCCCCCGGGCTGCTCCAAAGGCGGTGTTTTGCCCTTCTCGGAAACACCCGGGGGCAGGTGGGTTGGGGTTGAGGTTGGGGCGGGAAGGAGGTTCTGTGCGCCCAGATCGCCAAAGGCTCTAGGAGCTTGCAGACCCCGGGCAAGGGGCAACGTAGCCCCTGAAAAGGCTTGCGTGAAACTATACTGAGTAGTGGCTTTATTATTTTTTTTATTTTAATTTTTTCTTTAGAATCGACATCGTACTTAAACTCTTCCGACCGCTCAGGGCAGCTCACCACTTATAAACAGAACTGGACCCTCGGAGCCGTTGTGCATTTATTATTCGGTTAATCCCAAAACCTCAACCCCGGAAACCATTTGGCCTCAATGTTCCCGTTTCTAAGACAACTAACTATACCTTTAAGGGTGCGTGTGTTTGCAGTTTTACAGCCTGGGATGCGATGTCAGACTTTTTGTTGTTTTGAAACTGGGTAATAGCTGGGGTTCAGTGATGCACTGCACCTCTCGGTTGTGGGCCCTCCGTGCTCCCAAGCTCTGCCCCCCCCCGCCCCCTCACGTCGGGCCCACCACGATTCCCATAACGCCCTTTCCACCGCCTGACCCAGCCTACCCAACAGCCCTGTCTCGATCCATCCCTAAACTTGCCGGGACGGAGGACTCCCCGGGGACCCCGGGGATTTGTGATGGGAGGAGTGGGGAGCGCTTAGGGGAGGAGGAAGAGCGTCGCGGGGAGCCCATCCGAGCCGGGACAGAGCTCTCAGGGCACGAAAGAGAACGGTGCGCGCGCTTCACAACTGAAACGCATCCTTTCAACTCTCTAAAACGAAACATAACGTCGTAGCCGCTGTTCTCCTGGTGGAAGAGGAAGCAAAAGTCCTCTCTGACCTCCCTGCGTGCTCCAGCACGGTTCCTTCGGCAGCAGACACGTCCTCGTCCCAAAAAGCTCCCGCAGCTTTAAAGGCCTCCTGCGGGGGAGACCCGGGGCTGCCGAGGGCCGGGGAAGGCCTCCCGGACTCCTCGAAAGCATCTCGCACCGGGAGGAGCCAAGGCAGGGCGCGAACAGCGCCGACGGAGCGGGTTTGGGTGCGGGGACTCGGAAGAGCGTGTGTCGGGATCGAACTCGAACGAGGCAGAAGGGACGGACCCCGCGGAGCGGACTGGGGGTGTGGGAGCTGGCGGGGGGGCCGGGTCCCAGGAGGTGCGGCGGGCAGTGCTCACCGGCTTCAGCCGCGGCCCCCCCCCCCCGCCCCGGGGGGAGCTCCTCCGCACCCGCCAGGAGTCTCCAGACTCCCTGGACACCTGTCGGAGCAGACGCGGATCCGCCGGCGGATTCCTGGGGAGGGGGAGAGCGCATCCCTCCCGGCACCCCGCGGAGGCCGAGCCGGCCACTCCCGGGCGCACACACTCTCCGCCTCCGGCTGGAGTCTGGGGCTCCCCCCAGGACCCCCGCCACCAGGCACCAAACTTCACTTTCTTTCCCCAAGTGTGAGCGCCCCTCTCGCCCCCTTCGGCGCTGCCCCCTCCCTCTCCCCTTTTCCGTCTCTCTCGGTAGGTCTCTCGCTCTCTCCAGCTTCAGCCTGGGAATCCTCGGGGCTCAGCACGGAGCTGCGCAGCCGGTCGCCCGCGGGTCCCCCAGCTCGCCGCGGGGGAGCCCCGGGGAAACACGCCGGGAGCCCCCTCGGGCCCGGTCCCCGGCTCCCCATTGGCGCCCCGGTCCCCGCCCCCTCCGCGGCCCGGAGTGGCGTCAGCACGCCAGGCGGGCGTGGGGTTTAAATGCCCACTAGCGGGAGCTCCGGGCGCTGCTATCCCGGAGCGCTGTCCGGGCCGACGCTGCCGGGCTGGGAGCGGAGCCTGCGAGCGGGAACGGGAGCGGGAGCGGGAGCCGGAGCCGCCGAGCGCGCTGCCCGCCGCCCCGCCGCCGATGACTCGGGAGCTCGGGTGCAAGCGCCGCCCATGCAGCATCTCTGCGCTCCGCGGACCGAGAGTTGATGAAAAACCGCTTAGCCGTCTCCGCTGCGGGGAGCCATGAGCTGTCTGGATGTTATGTACCAAGTCTATGGTCCTCCCCAGCCTTACTTCGCAGCCGCCTACACCCCCTACCACCAGGTACGTGTCTCCTCCCGGCCGCGATCCCGGAGACCGGGGTGGGGGGGGTCCCCGCTGGCAGGAGCCCCGCCTGGACCCCGAAGTCTACCAGCGGGGGAGCCCCGGGGATGCGGGCCTGCGGGCGCTGCCCCCGGGAGGTTGGGCCAACCCCCTTTCAGCCTGTGCACTTGCTCCCTCGGGAAGGCGGCTAAGCGCGTGCCCCGCTCCTGCGGGGAGCAGTCGCCCGAGGATCGCGCGAGCCGGACGGTCTCCTTGGAGTTTGTCGGACTCCAGATTCTTCCGTGCGGGTGAGGGGAGATGCGAGCAAAGCTCCCGCAGGGATAACCCAGCTTTGGTCTCAGAGGTGAGAGCCCCGAGAGAAAAAAAGCCAAGACGTGCCTCTCTTGCCTTTCTATCAAAAATGCAAAGACCTGCGTTCTCATTCCTGCAAGTTTATCTAAGGAGGAGCTTCCCCCCCCCCCCACCGTTTCAGTTCTCAGGGGATCAGGCCAATTCATTCCCGAACCGGAGAATTCGTTACAAAAGGAACTCGTGAAAGCGTGGGTTTTATAATCTCTGCTCTGCAAAATTCTGGGATTATTGGGTTGCAAGTGACCTGGCCGAGGCGAGCTTCAGAGATAATATTTCGCATTTCTATGACCCGAGTGGCTGCATCGGGCTGTCCTGCAGGCCACTGACCCACCTGTAAAGAAGACCACTTAACCCCGTTTCCACAAACTCTTGAAGATTTAATTATTCCAATTTCTCTCGTCTCCGGGCTGGGTCTGGGCGACCCAGTTTTTCTTTCCACTACCTCAGCTGATATTGTAAAAACTGAAGACCGAAGTCCAGCAAAAGAATAAGATCACACACCCAGGGGGCCATAGGAGTCAGGAACAGGTTCCAGAGTGACGGGCCTGGACTCCAGTCCCAGAGAGAATGAAATATATCTGGACCCCCAGCCCAAGTTTTTTAACAATTTTCCTTGCAAATTCAGAATGTCTATTCGAAAATTTTCTGTTGAATTAAGAATGGAAGGAGTAGGCTTTGCTTTTTGCTTTTTTCCTTCTACCTTCCCCCTTTTAAAATTTTCCATCTAGGAGTTTGTTTAGTCTCACAATATTAATTTGGGGGGATCACCAGAGTCCCTCATTATAAGCCAAGTGGAAAGTGGTGGAAGTGGTGATCCTGCTAAGTAACCGGTCTTTTTGGCTTCAGCTTCTGAGATGGCTCCTTCCCAGGCTGGCAATATTGCAAAGAGAGGAAGGAGATGGGTTGGTTTTCTGTCTGTTTGGTCCTTTCTTCTCCCTGACCCTGGACCAACCTATTCCATTAAGATCTCTGTTCAGTTTTGCATGATCAGCCCACTTTGAGGCCATCTCTGCCTTCATAAATGCGTTAGCACTGCATTCAGCCTATTGCCCATTTCTAAGAAAATATTTCAGCAGCTACACTCGGCTTTTAGAATCACCACTGGACAGTCACAATTTACCCAACTTCACAGCTAAGATCTTCTTCTTTCTTCCTTCTCCTTACTTGTTTCCTCAATGTGCATAGAGACGCCGAGGGTTCTATCCTCATAGCCCACTTACTCAAAAGATGATCTCTTTAAAAACAGCGATAGACTTTTAAGTGGACAATTTATGGGCGACCAAACAAATATCAAGTTGCACTTATTAACATGATCCATGTCAGGATGTTATTCCACATTTTTACCCCACAAGATTCTTTCCTAAATGGAACTATCTCACACCTCCGTGGCAGTTTTTCTTTTACATTCCTGGCTATGTGACGTGGATTTGGATATTTTCATGCTCCATCAGGATAATGCTTAAATCTTGCATCTTGTGCATCTGTCCTGGATTCTTAGGCAGGGGACATTCAGGCCCTAACTGGACTTGGGTGCCCTTTATCCTTGGAGCCTGATTTTAAAAATATATCTGCCCCGAGCCTGGCTTTGCAGTCAAACTCAGCTCATATCCTGGCATCTTCTGGGATTTTTCCCCCTGACATCTTCAGAGAGCTTTCCCTGTGGTCTGGCAGCAATTCTGGGGAGACGGAGACACCAAGAAGGGCAATCCGCCTCTCAGAAGCTCACCGGGTTACTGACCATAGGGCTTAGGCCTGGTTGCTGGGGGGGGGGGGGGGGAGCGGCCTTTCCATACCTTAGAGATCTGAAGGAGTGGAGTGGGAACCCAGTTTGCCATCTCTTTTGAAAGTGACCTCTCTGTTCTTTCTCTCTTTGAGCAGAAACTAGCCTACTACTCCAAAATGCAGGAAGCCCAAGAGTGCAACGCCAGCCCCAGCAACAGCACCGGCAGCGGCAGCTCCTCCTTTTCCAGCCAAACTCCAGCCAGTATCAAAGAGGAAGAAGGCAGCCCAGAGAAAGAGCGCCCACCAGAGGCGGAGTACATCAACTCCCGCTGCGTCCTCTTCACCTATTTCCAGGGGGACATCAGCTCGGTGGTGGACGAGCACTTCAGTAGGGCCTTGAGCCAGCCTAGCAGCTATTCCCCGAGCTGTACGAGCAGCAAAGCACCCAGGAGCTCCGGGCCCTGGCGGGGTGAGTAAAGGGCCTGCTGCTGAGCGCCGGGAGAGAGGCTTCTTGGCCTGGGGCCCACCTACGTGGGGAGGGGGGCCGCCCGAGGAAAGGCAGCAGAAGGAATACTGGGCTGCCCATAGGAGGTGAGAAGGGGCCTATGGGGTGGGCAAGTAAAAGGAAGGAAGGAAAAGAAAATTTCTCCTTGAAGAGACAGGACAGAGCAGTGACCTAGAAAAAAACACTAGCCTTGGAATTGGGAGACCTGGGTTTTCCTGTTGGCCCTACCACTCCCTAGCACTATGACCTTGGGCAAGTCTCTTAACCTCTGTGAGGTCACTCTATTTACTGGTCTCTAAAATTAGAGTAATACCCGCCCTCTTAACTATCCCTGGAGATGGCAGTAAGGACAGATAGAAAAATGTATGTAAACATGCTGGGGGAATGCGCGGTTCCCAACACTCTCCAAAGCCACGAGGAAGATCTTCATCTACAACAACTTTCAGGGCACTTAGTTCCTGAAAATTTGCCCAGAGGAAAAAGTCCTAGACCTCACTGTAAGCAAAACCTGCTGAAGAATGTCTCTTAAAATTTATATATGCTTTTTTTTTTGCCATGTTTCTATTACCTAGGAAATCTTGAAGCAGAAAATGTCTTTCAGTGACCAAAGAAATAAAAATTTAGGTACAGCCAAAACATCTCTAAGAGTTTTCCCCAAACACATCCCCTCTTTATTGTTCTACTTATCTCACAAAGCACTGCTTTATCTAGCCTGGGACAATGATTTATTGGTCAAGCCAACTAAATCTCCCTTCTATTCTGAAATCTCAATCTCCTTTTATTTCCAAGACAAGGGTGGGGGTAACTCTTCGATAAACATTCTCACTAAACTTAATTTCTGATGTGTACCAAGCTGAAAAATGAGGACTTTGTTATAAAAAGGAAAACCAATATGAGAGGGGGGATGACAACACTCACCCTCTCTTTTTTTCCTTTAGAGTGTGTGACACTTTGTGTAAGCCTTGCCTAGACAAGATCTCAAATCATTAGTTTTGAATACAGAACATTCTTTTGATTCTCCAGTCGCCTAAATGTGTTTAACAGGAAGACTGTTCACTACATAAATTGCATTTTCACCGCATTTTTAATTCTCTAGTATGTGATGCAGATGCCTTCCCCGGAGGTGCTAAGTCAAGGCCTCTGGAATTAAATATCTTTCTTTCCCGCCCTTCCCACTACAGGTGACAAATTTGATCTATGTGCTGTTCTCTTAAAATGCTTCCCGGTTGGAGGAGTCAACCGTGATATTGGCAATAATAATAATTATTATTATTATTCCTGGCGTCCACACTTTAAGGAACCAGTGTTAACTAATTAAAACTTAAAAGATCTGTCCCTGTGTGTCCCTCTGCAAATAATACAGCTGCCCTTTTAATAGGTCTAGTTTACTCTTTTGCTTGAGTTCTTGGGAAAAAAAAATATTTGAAAGAAGGTTTCTAGAAAGGAGGCTAATAATAGCAAGACTTTGAAATATGTCGATGGACTTCCAGTCTATATCAGAGGCCTTGGAGGGGCACATTTTCTGGAGCTGGGGAGGCTGAAACGCCAGAGGGGGTAGTGGAATCGCCAAGCGGCTGACCAAGAGTGGGAAGAAGTATCTTTAGCTTGGGGAGAGGCTGCGGGCTGGGACCGGGAGCGAGACCGCGTCTACCCCCCCCCCCCCCGAGCCAGCAGAGCCTGGAGTCGGGGGACCCGCTCCCCGCGCCCCAAAACTGGAGTTGAGGAGGGGGGTTGTCTCCGGCCTCTTCCTCTCCCAGTGCGTCCTGGGGTGTGCGCTCTGGAGACGCGTCTGCAGATTCCGTGGAAGCGGCCCTCCTTCCCAAAGGGTTCCCCCCACTTTGCGGGGCCGTAACCTGGAATTCTCAGGCTGCAGCATCTCGCGCCCCCCCCCCGCCCCGCGCGCGCCCTGCGCGTTCAGCTCCCCCTCGGGCGGGGTGGGCGCTTCCTGGCCCCGCGGTGACGCGCCCCTCTCTTCCTTTGCTCCCCCCGCCCCGCCGGCCCGCAGACGGCTCCTTCCCGATGAGCCAGCGCAGCTTCCCCGCCTCCTTCTGGAACAGCGCGTACCAGGCACCGGTGCCCGCGCCGCTGGGCAGCCCGCTGGCCGCCGCGCACTCGGAGCTGCCCTTCGCCGCCGCCGACCCCTACTCGCCGGCCGCGCTGCACAGCCACCTGCACCAGGGCGCGGCCGAGCCCTGGCACCACGCGCACCCGCACCACGCGCACCCGCACCACCCGTACGCGCTGGGCAGCGCGCTGGGCGCCCAGGCCGCCGCCTACCCGCGGCCCGCCGCCGTGCACGAGGTCTACGCGCCGCACTTCGACCCGCGCTACGGGCCGCTGCTGATGCCCGCGGCCTCCGGGCGCCCCGCCCGCCTCGCGCCCGCGCCGGCGCCCGCGCCCGGCAGCCCGCCCTGCGAGCTCTCCGCCAAGGGCGAGCCGGCCGGCGCCGCGTGGGCCGCGCCCGGGGGACCCTTCGCCAGCCCCGCGGGGGACGTGGCCCAGGGGCTGGGACTCAGCGTGGACTCAGGTAAGCGGGAGAGGGAGCTTGGCCTCCCCGGACCCCTCCTGCCCTGTGTCCGACCCTGGGCTGAGCCCCGGACGCCCCTTAGCTCCCCTTGGAGACCCCAGTGACCTTGTGGCCCGCAGGGCTTCCGCAGACAGGTGGCCCAGTGTCATCGGTGTGGGCAGAATGGCAAAGAGGGGCACTGCTCTAACCTGGCTGGAAAATATAATAGAGGATTTTTTTCCCCAAAATTTGACTAAATAAATAAGTATGAATAAATGAGTAATCTGCTGGAAAGGTTCTAGCTCTGCGCTGTTCAATCCTGTAACCGCCAGCCACGGATACCTGTTGAGCCCTTGCAACGTGGCTAGGACGAACTGGGATGTGCTGTACGTGCATAATACACACTGGATTTCAAAACTGTGTGCGAGGGAAAAAAATGTAAAATTCATCTCACCAGTATTTTTATGTTGATTGCATGTTGGAATACTTTCGACACATTGCACATTGAACACATCAGGTCAAATAAACTATATTGCCAAGATTAATGCTCACCTGGTTCTTTTTACTTGTTTCCAATGTGGCTGCTAGAAAATTTAGAGTTATGCCTGTGGCTCCCATTGTTGTTTTTATTGGACAGCGCTGATCTAGAGGACCTAGAGCTAAGAGTGTAGTTCAGAATCTTCTGCAGCTTGGGGTGGGGGGAGGAAAGGGGGTATTGTCTCCTAGTGACAGTTATAAGGAAGGAAAAATGTGATTCTCATATCAGCCGAATAACCAAATTAAACAAGTCTCTTAAAATGTAAAGCGTAAAGAGAATGTGATTTCGATGACTATATCGAGTTCCTGGCTTAACGAGTTGCATTCGAAAGGGACATTCGAATAAGGGCTTACTCTTCTGCTTCCTTTATTTTTAGGGCAGAACCCCAAAATGATTATATTATAAATGCAATTGTTGGCTTGTAGTCTTGCCCACCCGCCCTTCCTTCAGGTGAAGATTTGACATTTCTGTTTGCTTCGCTTTTACTTCCATTAATGCCCTTTAGAAGAATTCTGTGACATTCACAATAAAACAGTGGTGTTTGTCTTTTTCTCTTTCCTTAAATACCTGTGCCTTCCCGCCCCCAATCCCTTCTCTCTCCCTCTCTTCGCTCTCTCTCTCTCTCTCTCCCTCTCCCTCTTTCTTTTGTTTTCTCTCTGTTTTCAGGTTTGCAGCCTCAGGACAAAAGCAAAGATCTGTACTGGTTTTAGACAGTCCACCTTGCTCCCCGTAGGTCTCTGCATAGCGCAATTGGTGACGCTCAGAGCTGGAATCAGAGTGGGTTTGTAACAGCTTCTGATCTTGGTTTGCAGCTCGTCGTTATTCCCTCTGTGGTGCGTCCCTCCTGAGCTGATCTGCTGACCCCGGTTCCCCCTTCCCTTTCCCTTCCGACCAGCCACGGAGGCTCAGCACCTGGGCCTCTCACTTCATGGATGAGGACACGGGGGAAGGCAGAGACTTCAAACTGCTCCGTGTATTGCGAAAACCAAAACATACATCTACAGAAGTTTTGTCTAACAATAATTCCTTCCGCGGAAAGAGCAGATCCAAAGACTCTGAATCATGTTACAAGCCTTCCGGGCAGATCACTGGAAATATCTGCGGTGATCTCACTTAGGTGATATGATGTCATAAGTTTTCTTGAAAAGAGGAGGGGGGAAAAAGGGACTCTTTTGGTGTGAATATTTTTTATGCTGATGTGAATTATGTCATTAAGTGGTGTGACCATATAGCACTACTGATGTCAGTATCCTCACATTTAAAATGTATTTGTATTTGCATCAAAGACTGTGGTAGAGAAGTAAAAGAGGCCACTTCCTTCTTCCTCACCTCATGGCCTCCAGCTCCCTTCATGCCCACTCCCTCTCTGCAACACCCACTCCAGACACAAAGACACACTTTTTTCATTTGGACTGTGAACATGGAAGCCTCAGCCTAAATGTGAGTGGCAAGTGGCTTATCTGAAGCCACCTGCCCAAGTCTTACTGAAATGCAGCTGTTGTAAGGACAACTGTTTGAAAACTCCAGAAATACATCGACCAAGGTGGCACTTCCCAGTGTTTGGCACAACAATTGCAATTGCACTGGATCTATTTTATATGTGTGTGTGTGTGTAGATATATATCCTATTTTTTACGAGAAACATTTTACGATGAAAGAAGAAACTCTTCTCTGCCTTCTCCTACAAATTCCATCTCTCCTTCCATCCTCCTCTGGATGAAAAAAAAAAAAGCAGCAAGGAACCCCAACTGCCTCCATGAAGAAGAACCAGGAATCGCCACAAGGGGAAGAAATGTCCATGGAGTCTCCAGTACCTCGAATATTCCTCTCAGTCTCTATGGTCACTGTTTGGTCACTTTAATTTTGGCACAGGGGAAGGGGTCCACAGGTGGGCAAAGCTGCAGGTAACGAGGAAGAAGAAATGAACAGTAAAAATGTCTCTTTACTACAGGGTCGCTGTGTTATTTCATAAAAAGGAGATAAATGTCTTAGTCTTTCTCTAGTGGAATAAAATAATTTATAGTAGTACAATCTGATGTCAGTAACTAATGTTCCATTATATATATATATATATATGTATATATATATATATATATATATATATATATATATATATATAGTGCTTTTTGGTTTTCCCAAGTGTTTCCCATTCTGTGAAACCCGTTCACCCTTTGCCACCTCGCATCAACCCCAGAAGTGAGAAGTTAGGTATCCCACCTCTGTTTCACACATGTGAAAATTGTGGCCAGCAGAAGCCCACGGCTTCCCTGTCCAGCATTCACTGGGTTGAAAGTAGAGATGGTACTAAAAGCACGACCTGGACACTGTTCAGTCAGGAACACATTTATTACTCTCCAGAAGAGACTTGTTGTTCCTTCTTCAATTCCAGACTCTTAGGACAGTAGTCAGTTTAAAAAGTGTCTTTGAAATATTGGTGATATTACATTTTCATAAACTAGGCTAAGAAACCAAACCTACCAGTAGGCAAAAATAAATAAATAAATAAATAAATAAATAAATAAATAAATAAATAAATAAATAAATAAATAAATATTTTTTTAAAATTTTTTTTTAAAAAGGAAGGAAGAAAGAGATTGATTATTAAGAAACTAATGGTCATTTCTCTTAATTTCCTCTCGATGCCAACACTGTGTTCATTCACTGAAGGGCCCAAAAGAAATGTTTTGTGTTCTGTTCAAATTGCCCTTCTAGGTTGTTAAAGCATAAAAAGAGTCCGAATCTTGACCTCTGTTATAACATGAGAAACAAATACAATTTATCTTGGATAATAGTCTCAAGAGTTGGGGGCAGTAAGGGACCTTACTCGGAGTATGGCTTAGCGGAGCCACCTGTCCCCTCTTTCTATCATCTTGGCAGCTGTGAAGTAGATTATGATCATCCCAAGATCCTATGCCTGGTTTTGCTTATATGGAAGTTACTCTCTGATTATGCGGCATCGGATGTGATGGCACTACAAATAACCAATGCTGAGTGTTCATCAGACCCTGGTCAGAGGGCTTTGTATGCAGGTTAACTCATTTAAGTCTCACAGCAATTCTGTGTGGCATTTGTTATGATCCCCTTCTTTCCAGTGAGACAACTGAAGCGCACAGAGGAGAAGTAAGTTGCCCAGTCACAGCCAGTAAGTGGCAGAGCCAGGATGCCAACCCAGGCAGCCTGGATGCAGAGACCACCCCGTTACCCACCCACCATGCTGGCTGCTTGTCCTCTTCTGACTTGCCTTGGGTGGCTTAACTTTGGGTTTACTTTCTCCTCCACAGTTGATGAATAAGGAAGGGGAAAGAGGCAGGGCAGCAAAGGCTGCCACACCACGGACCTTCCAGAATCCCTGGTCTCAAAGGAGCCATCACAGGATATTTTCACACCTCTTCATCAAATGATACTATCTATAGACCATTCAGTCAGATGCAGATCTCCATTCTTCTCCAGGAGGGAATTATTATTGCTTCTCTTATTAATTCATTTCACTATTTACCAGACTTCACTGCTCTGAAGCTCTTCACACCCAACCCGACCAAGTCGTGTAAGACTTAGCCTGAGGTTTGGACATCGAAGCAATAACTAAAATTAACTCTGGACTTCTCTGTGGATTTTGTTAATCCATGTTCCACTGGCACGGATCACTAGCATATACCGGCATAAATAAAATGCATTGCGTTCCAGCTCGCTTTTTAGAATTTGCCACTGAGTACGCAGTGGAAGGAGAAAGCACAGCAGTGCATTCTTTCCTGGCCACTGTGTCCAGACAGTCCCCACCGGAGAAACCGTGCCCACGCTGCACTGCGTTAGCACACTCACAAGATCTCTGCTCAGAACCCGGTGGGAGCATTTTCCCAGCCACAGGGTTCTGGTTACTGAAGCCTCTCCCCTGAGCTGCATCTGACCCGAATATCAGGTTGCTGGTGAGGAGACCCATTCACTGGAACTGGCCTCTGGGGCAGTCCTGAACAGACCATCCAGGCCGCTGAGCCGGGCTCTGGTGACCTGGCACCCGGGCTACCGGGATGACAGCATTTCCCCCCGTGTTGGACGTTCCCAAAGTAGAAATGCAAGACGACCCAGAACGATAATGATTCTGTCTGTGCAGTAGGAGCCTCAGAGAGGGCTTTGGAGAATTAGAGGTCCTAACTGACATGCTCTAGGCCTCACCCAACTCACACAAAATATGAATGCCCATGCCTGTCTTGTTAACATTCACGCAATGATGCAGATTGGAGGAGGCCCTGGTGGTTGATGAAAGGACATTGGGGGCAATGAGGGATGACAGGGGGCAGAGGCACACATGACGTTTCCACATGTGTTCTACGTGGTCCGGGGGCCTGAGAGAAAGCTAAGCTTCTCCTCTATTCATCCCCGCTGGCACCAGCGCCCTCCTCCTGCAGCTCTCCCTGTGCTTGGCCCAGGCCCAGGGAGAGGTGATGAAAAGGGGAGAGACAGCTCTCCGCCACCAAGTAATCCTTCTGCCGATTGCCCTCTGGCTGAGAACTCAGTCACCCAACTTCAGGGAACTCTATCTGCTCTGCTCCTCTAGTTTAAAAGGAGTTGCCATCCTGTCTCCTTTCCCCCTTTGAAGTTCTATTTCAATGTGTGGCAAATTCTAGCAATGACTTAAGATTGATTTGGGCCTGGATGGGAAGGAGGGCAGAGGTGGAGGGACGTTAGGACTTAGATCCCCTGACTGGAAGCTTCTCTTGCCACTCTTTCTGGGTAAGTACAGCTCTTTCTGTGCCCTTTTAATCAGAGGAAGCGACTCTTAAGATCAATTTAACCTCCGGTTTGCTCAGAATCGTAAACCTTGAGCTTAGGTGCAGGCGCCCATATCCTTACTATCAAAATAAACCGATTTTTTTTTTACATTTAGTAATTGATTATTTTGGGGTTGGAGGAGATTTAAAAAATAAGACTTGGACAAACTGCTTTCCCTGTAAATGCTACTTCTATAAATTGCATTTTAAATGTAAGTCCTATGGTATCAAAGCATGAAAGGCAAATTGAAAGATATTTTAAAAGACTTTAAAAATAAATGAAACCAAAAAAATGTAAGATTCCTTTATAAAACTGCTTTAACACTCTGTCGATAACATGCCTACAAATAACTCACCTTTTGATCATACTTATCAATGTCCAGACTCTATATATCCCATTTTCCTTGCAAGATTTTTATTTATTTTTATTTTTTTCTTGAAAGATTTTTAGAATTTATTATTATTCATTATCTATTACATATTCCTAAAATCTGGAGTAAAGGAATAAATGTCCTGAAGGCAGTATCATTATTAGATGTGCTGTTTGCACATAACTGAAGTTTTGACGTGTGCACAAGCTATAGGATTAAGCAAACGTGAATTTTTCATTTCCTGAAACCCAGGTTTCCTCCTCTCTCATGAATAAATGAAACTCTAAATATAAATATGGTACCCTCGCAATAGAATCTATCTACAGATTTCTCTCTCTCTCTCTCTCTCTCTCTCTCTCTCTCTCTCAGGCCTAAAGGGAAATCAGAGACACCATGCCCTCAGACAGGCACAGACACAAATGATTATTCTCACTTGACAGACCAACTGTACTGCTCTTTCCTTGTATTTCACTCCAGCCCCAGAGGGCTGGATCAGGAAAGAGACACTTGATAGCTGCTGGTTCCGTGGTTGAAATATTTGTGAAGTTAACGCATAATCTGAAAGCAGAAGCTAATAAATTATAGGGTGCTAATTGGAGCTGGAGTGGAGCTGTCAATCATGTTTCCCTAAACACAGAGAGACCCTCATACCCTAAAAAGGCAAAGCAGCCTTCAGGAACAGCGCCCAGTTGTTTGCAGCCTTGACCCGCACTCCAGCAGAAACATCGAGTCCAGGCAGAGTGGCCTCTGGCAGAGTCAGCAGAGGTGGTTCTGCTAATCCAAGCTCACTTTAAGAAGAGAGACAGATTCTCTTTTAGGGGGAAAGAGTAAAATACTTTTACTAAAGAATTACTGTTTAAAGAAACATACTGTTTACAGAAATATATATATATACACACACACATACATATATATGGTAGTTGATGAAAGAACTATATATGTGTATATATATATATATATATATATCGAATTTACTAGAATAATTATTACTTTGGTAAAACATTACCCTTTATTTGGAATTTTTCACTTTCTAAAACAAGTTAACTCAATGAGAGAAAAATCTAAAGGTCTCCACAATAGTGTCATGTTGACCTCAAGCTGTAGTATCTCTGTGAGCTTTCTGATGTACTCTTAAGGAACTAAGCTCCTCTAGAACAAAAATAAGACATCCAAATTTCCATTGCCTTACTGGAATTCATTTATTTCCCCCTTAAAAAGCAGCAGCAGCATAGTTTCATTCCTTTGTTTTGTTCTTATAAACTCCTGGTTTATAATCTCTGGTTCTACTCATCTCCCACTATTTCAAATGACTGACATGATTTTGCTCAAACAATCCTCCTCTGTTCCATTTCCTATCAAAATGGTATAAATCAATAAATATGTGATTATTACACAGGAGACAATTTAGGTTAAAGGTAAACAAAAAAATTAAATAAATAAATAAATAAATAAATAAAAAATAAAGGTAAACCAGATTTTTGGAAAACAAAACTAAAGAATTAACATTTTTTGATTTCTACTCAGTATTTGCATGACTCTCACGATAGAGTTACCAGGCAGAAATTTTTACCAGCATTTACTGATAGAGTATGTGCTTTGGTCTCTATGTGTATTTACAACTAGTAAAATACTCTTAGAACTTGGCAACTTCTTCCGCATACTTCAAAAAAAAAAATAGTTCTCACTCAGGAAAAGCAAATCATGTATGTTAAAATTCTACACACACAATGGCTCAAAACAACAATTAGAATTGATGGGAATGTCATAAGTTTGTTTCTTTTCTGACTAATTCTCACTGCTACAGCCTTGCCCTTATTTTTGGCAACTCTATAATCCACCCTGGTGCCAATAACAGCACTATCAAGAAATGGGATGGAAAACAA